TTAAAATTCTTGGGTGGGTATGGTGGCTCGTACTTGTAACGCTAGCACTTTGGGAGGCTGAGGCAGGTGGATTGCCTGAGCTTAGGAGTTCAAGACCAGCCTGGCCAACGTAGCGGAACCTCGTCTCTTCCAAAAATACAAAAAATTAGTTGGATGTGGTAGCACGCACCTGTAGTCCCAGCTACTTGAGAGGCTGAGGCACCAGAATTGCTTGAACCCAGGAGGCAGAGGTTGCAGTGAGCAGAAATCACACCACTGCACTCCACCCTGGGTGACAGTGAGACTCTCTATCTCAAAGAACAAGGTAAAGTAACAAGAGTGAAGGGAAAGTGACCGTGGGATAGAAAACTAAAGTGACAAGTTCTGTTAGTACCTGGACATCGTAATGTCCTACGTAATGGCTGGAGATGGGAGAGAGCATGATTCTGAGGTCACTGACAAGAAGGAAGCGTGATTCATGAGAGACAAGCACCTCTGGCTCTCATGAACAGACATGTACCAGTCACACTGGGGAAATGCTTCTCTCACCAGCAATGAGGTGGGAAACCCCTTTAGTGGAGTCTCTTGAAGAGAACATTCTGACGTGTTGAGCAACATGCTTAGCAGCATCCCTAGATGTAGGCAGGTGTCTAACAATGATGTGGTTTTGCTGTTAGCATTCAGCAGCGCGCACCGAGGGCGTGGTGCCGGAGCACCAGGGATGAAGGCGGCTCTCCCAGAGGACAAGGTGGTGTGGCCCGCAGTTGCCTGGTTTGCCGCAGCCCTCCTGCTGTGAGCATCTAGGATAATGGGGTGGAGGGGCGTGCCGGGGTGGGGGGTGCTGTGCATTGTTTACTCCTGCATGAATGCTATTCCTTATAAGTGGGCTTTTGGCAGGAGTAGGGCAGCAGAGAATTCAGAGTTATGTTCTCAGGCATCAAAAAGAGCTGGTAGGTGTCTGCTGATGCTCACCCAGGGTGGTGGGCCTGTGTTGTTGGTGCTCTCAGCACCTGGCCCATGGCAGGCCTTCAACGAATCTGTGTGCCATGGTTAATATTCACACCGCATGTAGGGTTGTCCTCTCTTCCCGAATCCTTGTTCCTCATCTCCACCTGAAGGCAGGCCAGGGCAGTCACTATGGACTAGGCCAAGGTGCTACCTTAGAAAACAAGTCTGGGACTGTCTTCATATATCACCCAAACGTTCCAAAGTCCTGTGCCTAGAAACATGGATTTTACCAGTTTAATTAAAAAATAAATTGGGCTGGGTGCAGTGGCCCATTCCTGTAATCCCAGCACCGTGGGAGGCCGAGGCGGACACATCACTGGAGGTCAGGAGTTCAAGATCAGCCTGGCCAAGATGGTGAAATCCTGTCTCTACTAAAAACACAAAAATTAGCTGGACGTGGTGGCGGGCACCTGTAATGCCAGCTACTCAGGCAAGAGAATTGCCTGAATCTGAGAGGCGGAGGTTGTAGTGAGCCGAGATTGTGCCACTGCACTCTAGCCTAGGTGACAGGAGTGAGACTCTGTCTCAAAAAAAAAACCAAAAAACCAAAAAAAACCAAGTCAGGCATTGCAGGTCAACCCCTGTGACATGAGAAGCTCAGTAGTGTGTGGACTTGAAGGCTAAAGCTCCTTGTTAGTTACAGGATAAGCTGGTGGAAAAATGTCTACGTTGGTGAGTAAATTATCAGACTTGCTGTATATAGAATTGTTAGATATAAGCAAATTTGTTGCTGAGGATGCCTCATAATTATGAATTTGGTTTTAGAATAGATGATCAGAACCATTTTCTTTTCCCTTGAGGCCTGTCTTAGTGTTTGACAATAAAACTACTTTAGCAATTTACAGGAGAATACTTACTTACTCTCTGTAGCATGGGAACATGAGCTAGGCTCACCCAGAGATGGTTTCAAGTAATTATGATGCAAGTAATAAAAAAAGGAGCCAAAATACATCCCTATTTTAATTCTGTTCCAAAATTCAATTAATCAAGTGTTTATTGAGTGCCTAAGATGTGCTTTTGGCCCAAGGCTGATTGCGAGGATTTAGTAGTGGCCAAGCATGATCTCACGGGCCAGGGGGCGGCTAAGCCCACATCCCGTTGCAGTTGTGCAGACTGAATGCAGAGGATGGTTCTCATAGAACTATAAGCGATCCTATTTCGTTACTTACGGAATTCTCTACAAAAATGATAAAGTGTGTACACAGTAGCCAACAGTAGACTGTCAGGCCCCTGGTAAGCGTGTAGATATTAATACACTATCAGTCATGGATTATTATTAAGTACATGGAGTAGAGTTCCAGTGCCATTTCCAGTGAACCAGGGAGTCTTTAATTTGGGGGCAGTGATATGGAGAAGTGGGAATCATTGGCTGTGTTTTTAAGAGCTAACATTGAGCTCCTTCAACCTGGAAAAGAGCTCAAGAGTAGATGAAGGCATCTACATGGACAAAGACCCAAATCCTCCAGTCAGAGTGAGCTTCGAGTTGTTTTGATACTTTTAAAACTGAAACTTCTACGTTAGTTCTACTGTCTGAGGAAGGATTCTAGGCATTTATTTCAGAAAGGTGTTTAGAGGCCCAAATTCGGGGCAGTGCTCCGGCCTCCCAGACGCCAGTCAGGACGCAGCCTCCATGACTGTGTTGATGCCACTGTCCAGGGTTTTCTCCCATAGATGGTCTACTGGCCAAGCCGTAACCTTCCTTAAGAATTTCTTAAAGCGGAGCTGTTAGGAGCTCCAGCATTCAGGAGGGAGCGGCGGGCCCCGCCTTGCAACTACAGCTGGCGCCGTCGCCCTTTCCAGCGCGTTCTGCTACTCGGATTCCGAGCAAGTGGCCTCCAAGCTGTCACACACACGAGGCAGCTGAGGCCAGCTGTAGTCCCCGCCCGCCCCTTCTTAGATATATTTCCCTGGGAAGAAAGTTGATGAATTAAAAACCAGGAAGCAAAAGGCAAGTGGTTTTTGACTGTCATTCCTCTTGACAAGTTCATCCTGTGTCGCTTTCCTGATCGGCGCTGTGCCGCGCTTTGCACGGCCCCGGAGCCTGCTGTTCCTGAGGGAAGTCAGGTTTTCACAGTGTCAGCAGTTTCCAAATGGAATCTGTCAAAATCGCCCTTGTCTTGGACGCTTTATCCTTGAACTGCTGCTTTATTGTTGGCAGCTTCACGGGCCAAGTACAGTTTTATTAGTTCTGCAGCTAGAGACAAATAGGGCCCCGGTGCCCCTGTCCTCAGCAGGCTCACAGCTGAGCAGAAACAGATAGAACATGAAATGGTTCTGATCCTCTAGAATGAAGGCATAGCGAAGGGCCCATGCAAAGCGAAGGGAGCCGGGGAGCACGTGCTGGGTGTGCCCTTGGTCTGGAGAGTGTGGGGTTAGCACCATCTCCTGCCGTGGGTCACTGAGGGTGGTGGGTGAGAACCACACACCTGGCAGGCTCCCTGGGGCTGGGATGTGGGTCACTGGTGGGGATGGTCTGCCGAGTGTTATAGGTGTGCTTTGCACGGGGCAGGGTGGAACGAGGTGTCTGAGGGCCCTCCTTGCTGAGAGAGGTGGCGGTTTTGTGGATTCTGTAAGGCAGTCGTTATTACTCAATATAGGTTAGGGTGCCCTGTGCAGAAAAATTAACCCTGGAATCTTCGTGATGTACTGTAACTACAGTTTCTGCCTCACTCACTCAAGTGTGATTCAGGTTGGGTGGCTCTGCAGGCAGCTGAGCTCTGGGAGGTTGCTCAGTGCTCCAGGCTGCGCCTGTCTGGTGCTGTGCCTTCTCAACATTTGGCCTCCAGGATTGCCATGGCCATGAGGCCAAAGAAGAGAGCTGGAGGCTGGCCCGTCGCTCTAAAGTCGTGTCTCACAGCGGCTTCTGTGGCTCCCACTCACAGCCTGCTGGCCATAGCTCCTCAGGGGGCCTCACCTTCCTGCGGAGGCTGCGAGGTAGGGGCTGGGGAACACGTAGATTTATCACGATCAGTGTCACGGTTGGTCTTCCCATTTTCCCACCTCTAACCTTGTCCTTTCCATCTCACGTCTAGGAGTGTTCCAGATCTTAAGCACCGTCTTCCCAACTGGTCACAAGGGTGATAGCACCTTCTCGTGTTGCGGCTTAAGAGCATAGTGCCACCTATTGTTATCAATTTCCAGCCATGGGATTTGGGGCAATATACTTAGTCCCTCTTGTGTGAGTTTCCTTATTGATAACATGGAGACAATATTAATAGTACCCAAACTAAGACAGTGGTTGTATGTTTAAGTGGGATAACACATATGCAGTGGTTAGCACTGTGCCTGCATTTGCTCAGGCTCCACAGATTGGTAAACTTATCTTGAGGCTAGCTGGATGAATTCAAGCAGCAGTATAGACTGGGAGACATCCACAGCTGGGGAAGCAATGTCAGATGCAGAAGCTGCTGCTGGAGAAGCAGTCATGCATGCGAGTAAAGCGGCGGGTACTGTTGACCTTCTCATGGGTGCTTTCTCTTCCCGTGGGTCAGGGACTGGCTGCCACTTGCTATGGGCAGGTCTCTCGGGAAAGGGAGAGGCAGAGGAGAGCCAACTTCGGCTGAGCAGTGGGCCCTGTGCCAGGAGTCTTTAGCTGAATCCTCCCCAGGGGTCCACAAGGAAGGTGGTGGCCCCACCTGCACTTTATAGACAAGGAACCTACATCTTAGAGATGGCAAGGCACGTGCCCAAAGGCACACCGCTAGTAAGTGTGCAGTGAGATTTCAGGCTGACGTTTCTGACTCCAGACCATCCTTGGGCCAAGTTCAGGAGCCCCCAGAGGGAGGAGGCTGCTCCCTGAGTTCCAAGCAGTGGTTTCCCTCCCTGGGAGAGTCTTGAGTTGCTGTTGCAACGCTTTCCTGCTCTGTCCGCTGACTCAGAGTGCCATGCCTCCCTCCGTTTATCTTCCTTCTGAGTGGTTTACTGTTTTTCTGACACATCATGTTTGGCTGTGTTTATCCTGAAATCAAGCTAACAAGACAGTTGAAGTATTTGTGTTCTGTTTGAAACAACAGGCATGTGAAACTGTTGAACCTCCCTGCGAGCCTCCGGCCACACAAGGTGAAAAGCTTGCTGGGTCAGAACATGTCGACCAAAAGTCCCTTCATCTATTCACCAATTATCGCACACAACCGTGGAGAAGAACGCAGCAAGAAAATAGGTAAGACGTTTAGCCTGGCCTTCCCGCCGTGCTCTGCCACCTGGTGTCCAATGGCTTTTCTAGATTGTTAGAACAGAATTTTGGGCCAGGCCATGCATGTTGTGTGCACGCGTGTGTGGATGCGTGCACGCGTGTGTGGATGTGTGCATGGATGTGTGCGTGTGTAGATGTGTGCATGCATGCATATGTGTGTTTGTGTGTGTGTGGTGTGTGGCTGTGTACACATGTGCGTGTGTGTGCATGTATGTGGACAGTCTGTCATGGAAATTTATTTGATATGCTGCTTTTGGCAGGCAGTTGCCCATAGATCTGATTTTTTAAAATCTATTTCATATAAGGTGACTTTGTGAAAGTTCTAGAAACCAGAAAGACTTCTGTTAACTGAGACTTACATGAACTACAGAAGAGTGATAATTGGAGATGTAGTGATTTTCCAAGGGCTGAAGTCACTTGTGAATCATCAGAGAAGATTCAGGGTTGTGCTTTGTTCAGGAGTGAGTGGGGGATGAGGTCACTGTGTTGTGCTCTCTGTGAGCACAGGTGTGTTGTGGGAGAGGCTGAGGTGGGAAATCTCTCCCGAGCTTTTGTGTGTCAGAGCTCTCGTTTTCCTGCATCATGGCTTAGTGTGCACTCGGCCCTGCCCACTGGTGTCTTTCTTGAAGCCAGGCTGCGGTGCCAAGCTCTCTGTCCCTTGCTGCCACAAAGACATGCCCGAGGTCCTGGCAGGAGATTGAGATTGCCAGTCACTGGGACCACTGCCACAAGTCTGTGTCCTGTGATCTAACCTTGAGGGTCTGGAGGCTGGCTTCTCCTTGGTGGCTGCCAGGGCCTCTGAGGCGTGTGAGCGGAAGGCATGCGTAACCACGGCGCTCTTCGTTTGATAGTCACTGCTTTCTTCTCCTCTGTTTCTCTGTTTCTACTCTTAATTCCTATACCTCCAATTTAGGAAAAGGCATTCCAACTCCTTTTTCCACCATGCTTTTCTTTCCAGGACAGAGGTTTCCTGTTGCACTCACAAGCCCACCCACACCTCGTGTTACGGACTGTAGGTGCTCCCGGGCCCCGCGCTGCTCACGTCCCTCCCACTCCGTCTGGCTTTTCCCGCCACCTCCTGCCTCCATCACTGCGGTTTAGCCACAGTGACTCCCTTCTGGGGTGGAACAAGACAGGCTGGGCGCTCGCTCTTTCCTCTGCCAGGAGCTTGTTCCCTGCCCCTCTGTCATCAGCTCTCTTGCTGTCACATCTTTTTGGTCTCTGTTCAAATGCCCCCTCCCTCAGAGGGGCATTCTCTGATCCCAGTGGCTCACCAGCCAGTCCTCCTGCCATCTCTAGTGGTGCTGTTTGGGATTCTCTTCCCAGCTTTTCTCCAGCTCAAAGCCTCAATGGCCTGTTGATGCTTTCTCCTGCAACATTCCCTGAAGCCCAGAATTCTGGCAGGCTGCGTTCAGCTGCTGTCGCCCCGGCACCTGGAGCAGTGATGGAAGAAGGAATTAATGAATAAATGAATGAATGGGAGATACTATGAATCTCATTTTATAGACAGAGAAACTGATGCAGGATGTTTAAGTGTCTTGTCCAAGAACTCACAGAAGAGCCTAGATCTCACTGTACATTTCATGTTCCTGGCAGAGCACTGTGGAATTCAGGGCAGAAAGGACAGTAAGAGCTTTATGTGTGGCACATAATCTTTTTTTTTTTTTTTTTTGAGACAGGGTCTAGCTCTGTCACCCAGGCTGGAGTGCAGTGGTATGATTAGGGCTTACGGCTGTCTCAACCTCCTGGGCTCAATTGATCCTCCTGCCTCAGCCTCCCCATTAGCTGGGACCATAGGTGCACATCACCACACCCATGAATTTTTGTGTTTTTTGTAGAGGCAGAGTTTTACCATGTGGCCCAGGCTGGCCTTGAACTCCTGGGCTCAAGTGAATCTCCTGCCTTGGCCTTCCAGAGAGCTGAAGTTACAGGCGGCAACCTCTGCCTCCAGCCAGCACATCATCTTCATGAGCATTTCTTGTACATTACTAGCTCTAGGATTCCTTAGCTTCTGTAAAGGTCTCATCATAAACTTCATTAACAATTTGTAAATTATCTGAATGCCATAAAAAATAAAGTGCTTCCGAAGAGAGAAAGTTGTTTGCTAACACAAAGGGCATCATTAGGACAGGAGTACTCAAAGAACCTTGTGCTTGTTAAAATGGTTATCATTTCTTTTATTCAAATTGTGCTTTATAAGAGGCTATCAAATGTTACCTTATTTAGTTTTTCCAGTATTTTTGGAAGAATTCATTTTTATCTCCCTTTTACAGATGAGGAAACAAACTCAGAGAAATGACTTTTGGAAGTAACTAAAAGTTAGTTAGTGACAAGCTTGATCTCACATTGCGGACCAAGTGTCCTGTTCCCATTAGTACCCTCTGGTGTCCTCTCATGTGCACAGTGGGTGTGGGAGAGGCTTGTTCACTGGACTCCACAGTCCTTACCTTCGACTGATTTTTCTGTTTAGTTCATGCAGACAAGACACAAACATGAGAAGCTGCCTATGGAGACTAAATGTGAATAAAAACTCTTAAAACTGTAGCCCTGTCCGCAGATGTACCTGGTTGCTTATACATTGAACCTGAACAAACAATAAATACTGGGCTAACTGGGAGTAGGGAGTGGGGTGGGGCCCCGCAGACCCTGGGAAGCCCTCTGGAGGCTCAGACGCAGCCTTCCTCTGAGGAGCCATGTGGGAGCGGGGTGTGGGCTGTGGGGTGGGGCCCCGAAGACCCTGGGAAGCCCTCTGGAGGTGCCTTCCTCTGAGGAGCCATGTGGGAGCGGGGTGTGGGGTGTGGGGTGGGGCCCCACAGACCCTGGGAAGCCCTCTGGAGGCTCAGACGCAGCCTTCCTCTGAGGAGCCATGTGGGGGCAGGGTATGGGGTGTGGGATGGGGGCCCCGAAGACCCTGGGAAGCCCTCTGGAGGTGCCTTCCTCTGAATGGCTCCAGTTGTTCTAGCTGTTCATTGTTAGAATGAGAAGAAAATGTAGAGACATGAGGTCATGCCCTTGAAAAACTGGAGCCAGTACTGAATTTTAGAAAATTTCTGAAACTGTGAGTGCTAAGTCTACTGCAGAATTTGTGTGTGTGTGTGTGTGTGTGTGTGTGTGCGCGCGCGCGCGCGTGTATGTTTTTAAAATGCCACTTTCTGTCTAATGACTCTGAAAGACACCCCAGCCTTGTCTCTCCTGCCACTGCTTCTCTCCCACCACTGCTTCTCTCCCCTGGAGAACACGAGGTGACAGGGTGTGTGGGCGCTGGGTGGACTTGGTGGATGAACAGGCAAGGCCTGGCGGCATCCCCAGATGTGCCCCAGTGTGTGTTGCGGTAATCAGGAGAGAGCTGCACACATCCCGTCCTCGCTGTGTTTTGGGAATGTGATTTCCTGGCTTCCTGTGGGAGCTCCACCTTTTCTCTCTGGAGGGTGACTTCTGAGCTCCGTGGGGATGGGCAGGCCACTATCTGTGATCCTCTGTCTCCCCTGGCCCTGGACTCGCTGTCCTAGGAGTGCTGAGGCTCTTGCTCTGGGACCTTCTAGAGTCTGTTCTTTTCTGCTCTCATTAGTGTTGGTGATGAGCTATCCTCTGGGCTGAGGAAACGTTCAGTGGATGATGTAAGATTTTTTTCCGAGATACAAGGTTTGGCCAAGATGCACATTATTTGTTTGGTAGGAAAATGTAATTTACATTGCATAGCTTCTAATATCTTTTTGGCAGTGTACTGATCAGTGAGTGCTTGCCCAGAGGCTTGACAAATCACATCACTTTAACCTAAATTTCCAGTCTAAGAGAACTGTGATGTGTAACTGTGATGGTTTTAGAGATGAAGAAATCTTGAGGGCACCGTTTGAGACCATTTTCCACTTTCACCTGGAATAGTTCACGAGTCTGTGTGTGTCGGCTGGCGTGGCCATGATCTGAGCCACATTCCATGCAAAGATGACTGCAACATCAGTCCTCAGCTTGAGTGTGTTGGATTGCAGGCTTTCAGTCATTTGTGATAGGTCTTTGTGGCACTGCCAGGCTTCCTGCTGAGGTCCATGGCTGTCCTGGAGGCAGCGTGATGACCTGGAGAGGCTGTGACCGTCAGGTGGACTTGTGCTGCACCGTGGCCCTGCAGCTCCCCACTGTGTGACCTTGGACAGCTGATGGCTCCTCTGTGGTCTGCATTCCTGCCGTCTACGGAATGGGGACATTAGAAGCTGACACAGAGGGTGGTTCTGAGGATCAAGGGAGAGAATGTTTCTAAAGTCCCTGGCAGTCATTCATTAACATTTTTAGTAGCAGTTGTATGCCCTGTGCTGTGTGCTGGGATGCACTGGTAAGTCCAGAGTGCTTCTCGCCACGTGGGTCCATACAGTGTAGCAGAAAGAGACTAACTTGTCACTAAATGCCACTGCCCAATGCCATGGGTCACAGATGACAGCATGCACAGTGTGTCCTGCTACAGGGTGGGCAGAGCCTCAGACCACAGGGTTTCAGGAGGCTCATTCTTGTGCCTTCCCACTACTCCTGGGACAAAATGATGAGGAAGGGCCACCACCATGCTTTGACATGCTGAGGGTTGGAAAGGGGTTATCTCCTTTCAGACAAAAATAACTTTTCAGGCAAGGGACAGTGGCTCGTGCCTGTAATCCCAGTACTCTGGGAGGCTGAGGCGGATTATTTGAGGTTAGGAGTTTGAGATCAGGAGATCCTCAGGAGCCTGGTCAACATGGTGAAACCCCATCTCTGCTAAAAATACAAAAAAATTAGCTGGGTGTGGTGGCACACACCTGTAGTCCCAGGTACTTGGAAGGCTGAGACAGGAGACTCACTTGAACCCAGGAGTGGATATTGTAGTGAGCCGAGATCGCGCCACTGCACTCCAGCCTGAGTGACAGAGCAAGGCTGCATCTCAGAAAGAGAAAGAAAAATAAATTTTTTGATAATCAACAATTTATCTTAGATTTACCCTTTAGTAGACAGGAACCATCTAAGTACACATTATTTTTTTCAGGACTCTAGAAAATGATTTATTATTATTATTATCATCATCACCATGATAGGGCAGCAGTTTGTTAATTACCAGCATGAGCAACTTGCTTAAAGAGAGTGGTGAGAGTAGGCCGGGATGCTGACCATCAGGGACAGGCCGGGTGAGTCTGGGGGCAGGTGGGGAGGGCGCGTGTTGTGCTCTGGCCACTGACTTATGTGAATGAGGAGGGTGGGTGAACCCTCTCCTATTGAAGGTCCTCAGAAGCTGATGGGCCTGGGAGGTGAGGGGTCATGGAACCTGGGATGAGGGAAGCGCAAGACCTGAGTTTCTGGAGTCCTGAGAGGTGAAGCAGTAGAGTGAAAGAACATAGGTTTTGGAGCCGGAGAGACTGGAGTTTAAATCTCAGCTCTCTTGCTTCTCAGGACCATAGGATGGGCAGGCAGGCCAGCCTGGCAGGGGAGTTCTCCTTTTTTGTAGAACGGGTATAACATTTGTGCTACTGACATAGACTGTGGTCATTCACTGCATTCTGCAGAGGCTCCAATGAGTACAGGGTGGTGCAGGCATTGGATGAGCTAGTTTGCTCACCTGGTGGCTGCTGTATTAATTCATGCAATGTCAACATGCCAGCTGTGGCCAGCTGTCATAGGTGTGGTGGAGACAGTCCTTATCTCTGTGCAGGGTGCCCGGTGCAGAGTGTGTGGAAGAAGCTGTGTCTTGAGAACACACTTATGAAAGCCCCGTGAAAGTTGAAGAATTCTTAGCAGACTTTCTTATCTGCTAGAGAAAAAGCCCTCCACTGCCCTGTTAGCCACCTGTGTCTGCTTGGGATGCCTCTGAGTTCAGAGGCCTGAATCCAGCAGCTCCTCTCACTGGCTGTGTGGTTCCTGGGCCAGTTGATTATCCTGTTTGGACCTTGAGTGTTTGCCTTGCAGTGATGGGGGTTATCGTACCTGTCTCAGCAGGTCCTTGTGAAGAGTACTGAGGTAACCTGTGTGGGAGTGCCTCACACCTAACACATGCCTGATACCTGTGGATTAATTGCGAAATTCCTTCTGGTTTGCCTAAGAGGGGACTGTAAAGGGAGGAAGGGGTGATGGAAATTGGGACAGATGCTGAATTAGCTTTCTGTTGCTTTGATCACAGATTCAGTGGCTTAAAACGACACAAATCTACTTCCTCACGATTTGTGTGGGCGTCAGCTGGGTCCTCTGCTCAGGGGTTCACAGGACTGAAATCCAAGTGTCAGCTGGGGCTGCTCTCAGCTCCTGGAGGCTGCTCTTAGGCCCTTGCCATGTGGTCCCCTCCACAGGCCCTCTAGGGAAGGACATGGCCTCCTGTGAGGTGTCACCTGAAACCCAGAGTCAACTGATTGGGGACCTCAGTCATATCTGGAAAATCCTTCCATCTTTGTTTTACAAGGTAACCTCATCATCATATTCACACTGAAGGCCGTGCACACCAGGATGTGCACTCCAAAGCTGGGGGTTTGAGGTCATCACAGCTCTGCCCCACACAGGTACTGAACTGCGGTTGACCTGGGAGTCGGTGGGGAGGAGAAGCCTCCCTCCTCACAGTCTTGGGGGAATAGGGGAAATCACACTCCGTGTCACTCACAAGTGACCCCATTGCCGTCTTCCTGTGTGTCAGCCTCTGGGCCCCGTGAAGTGCGGTGTACCTTACAGCTCTGCACCAAGAACAGTGCCGTCTGGACTGATGGCAGCATGAACAGAGCCTGCTGAAGGCAGCGAAGGAGCACCATTCACGTGGCATCAAAGTGGCAGTGACGGCTGTCTTGCTTTGTTTCAGAGAAAGCATGTGGGCAACCAGCTTTGAATCGCCCATCTCAAGATGATCGTGGAGCCCGCTGCCTTGTTGAAAATATAAATTGCTGGAGGAATAATCAGAAACCATGTGGAAAGTGAAAAAATACCAACTAATCACTGGATTTGTGTGTGTGTGTGTGTGTGTGTGTGTGTGTGTGTGTATTTTCCAGATTTCCAGTGGGTTCAAGGAGACGTGTGTGAAGTTCAGCTGATGGTATACAACCCAATGCCATTTGAACTTCGAGTTGAAAACATGGTATGTATCACCAATCAATTGACCTTGTTGGGTTGAAACACAAACTTCTCATTAAAGTAGGTTTTTACTTAATGTCTGAGGCACACATCTCATGATATATGCCTGTTTGTATGTTTGTTTTGCCAAAGCATATAAGCTTATTGTGACTGAAGGCCGTGTTTTGTTATTCCCCTGTCTTTAGGCCTGGTTCTCAATAAATATTTGAACCTACAAAGAAACCTCTGATTTGAACACATATCGAGTTTAGCTGACTGGGTATAAGATGTGAAATGATCAGGTTGCAAAGTCCGCATTATGCCTGTGACGCGGTGATACCAGCATTATTTTACTTCGGCAAGATGATAAGGTGATCTAGGCCCCAGGGAGGAACAAGGTGTAGAATGGGAGCTTGAATGACCACACCACCGTGGCGAGCTTTTTCGTTTTGAAATCCTGATGTCCAGTTGTGCTTTGTGTAGGGTGTTAAAGATTCACTTTGTAGTCCCTTCTGTTGGAAATGCTTACCTAATTCTCTAGTCAGGGGAAGGAGATTTGTGCTGGCTGTCTAAGCTGATTCTGTGGTTTTCAGAGCAGACCCTCCCCACGCCAGTGCAGCTTCCATCCCTCGAGTCTTCTCTGCATTGCTGTGTGCTGCTGCTGTGTAGCTTTTCAGGGGCATGCAAAGGATGGTGCTGCCAGACTGGATCTTGTCTTTTAGAGTTTTACGACTGGCAAGAGGTGGGCTCTTTATGCAAGTATCTCACTGTGTGCTCTTGCCACGGGTCAGGCCTCAGGCAAGGCCCTGAGAGGACAGAGATGGTCAGGCCCTGGTCCCTGCTGTGAACGCAATCAAAGCTCTGTTGGGGTGCATGCGGTGTTGTGGGCCTGATGTGGAGGGGACTCTGCCTGGCCTTGGAGAGTCAGGGAGGGTTCCTGGGTCAGGCGTGACGGCCTCGCCTGGAGCACAGGCTGAGTGGCAGTTTGCCAGGTGGGCACGTGGTAGCCACACGAGATGCTAGTCATGCTGCTAGCACTGGTGGAGTTTCCCGAAATTGGTCTGAGCTCCTGGAAGCTCAGCTGGATGTGGAGCCTGCAGTCCCAAGGCTGACTCAGAGGAGCGCTCCTCCTCCTGTTGGGTGAGGACTGACCGGCAGTGGGACTTGGCTCTCGGCTCAGGCCTTTCCGGTGACTTTCTTCTCAGCCTTAGTAGGGAAAAGCAGTTTAGAGAATCTTCCCCAAAGTGGGTAAAGTATCATATGCCTACTGCTCTTTCTTACACATTTTTTTTTGGTCTTAAAATGCAGCTTTCATTTTTAACTGGTTTAAAAACAATATGCGCTTATTATAACAAATGAGGAAGAGCGGGGAATAAAATAAAAAGCACCACATGGAGATAGCCCACCAATCATGGGCAGCGTTTTAACAACTGAATTAAGAAGTATTTTAAACATGTGAAATGTTACAGGGAATACTGCACACTCGTATACCGCCATTCACATTCAAAAAATGGTAACAGTTGGCCATATTGCTTTAGCTGTTTTAAAAGGAAATAAATGCCAATATATTTGCCTAGAGACAAGTGGTTTCTCTGCTTCCACCCTTGCCTGCTACATCTGTTCCACACATAGATCATTTCACACCTTGGCTCCAAGGCCGGACACTAAGTGTACTCACTGCCGAGAGAGTGGCTTTGCTTCTGGGTGCTTTCTGTAGACAAGAGTTAGGCAGAGTGTGTGTGCATCTACACACACACGAGATTGCACATATATATCTAAACCGTATTCCTACATGTGTGTACACATGCACATAAACATGCATCTGCAGCATGGACATCTGCCCTGAGTTCACCTGGACCCTTGCTTTCCAGCACGTCTCCAGACGGTGCTTGCCTTCCTCCCATCCGTGTGTGTCCTTCCGTCCTGCGTGAGAGTTCGGACCCCCACCATCAACACATCCACTCATGTACTCAGTCCTGTTATATATCTGAGATAGTTGCAGGGTTGCTATGGCCATACACTGCAGAAAACCAACCTGCTGAAAAGAATCCAGAATCTCCCCCTTCGCGGAGGCCTTATTTAATTGATCTCAGCAGTGCTCTGTGACTGTAATGAAACCTTGCCCATCGTTTGTTAGGTTTATTCTAATATAGTTGATGGTTTTGATCTCTTGTTAATGATATTTTTTGTACATTTTTTTCCAGTTGTTTATTGCTAAACTATAGAAGTAACTCCTTTTTTTCCTGACTCTCTCACTTTGCTAAATGTACTTAAAAGTTCAGGTTTCATTGTAGATTCCATAGCGTTTTCTATGATCCTGTTTGGTTTTCTGTGAATAATTGTCTATAAGCTTTTTCTTCCTTTCTCTTGCCTTACTGCCCTGAGTAGGACCTCTGTTACAACGTTGAGAAGTCCTGAGAGCTGGCATCCCTGCACTGCTTCTAATCACAGGCCAGCTTCTTGAGGCCAGGGAATCTGCCTGCCTTGTTCACTAGCCTGTGCTAGCAAGCTTAGTACATACTGAAATGTGTTGATAACTCATAGATGTGTGGCAGGGATATTAATTGGTGGTATACTTCCACATGCGATTGATTGATTGATTGATACAGGGTCTCACTCTGTCCCCCACGCTGGAGTGCAGTGGTGTGATCGCTGTAGCCTCAGCCTCCTGGGTTTAGGTGATTATCCCATCTCATGGGATAATCAAGTCTCCCAAGTATCTGGGACCACAGGTGCATGCCAACTTGCCCAGCTAATTTAAAAATGTTTTTGTAGAGCGGGGTCTCACTATGTTGCCCAGGTTGGTCTTGAGCTCCTGAGCTCGATCGATCTTCCCACCTTGGCCTCCCAAAGTGCTGGGATTTCAGGTGTGAGCCACCATGCCCAGGTATGTTTTTATTTCTTTTTGTTTATAAATAAAATATTTTCTCTTTCTGTTCACATTCCCATTTGGTAAAATGACAAAACAAAACAAATATTCAACGTACAGCAAACAGGGCTAAAATAAGTTGATCCGTGGTTTATCGCCTGTGCACCCACAGTGCTTACCGTGTCAAGGTGGTTTTGCGTTATCCTGTACCCGGTCTCTGAAGTTCTCTGTGGGTTTCTATAATGCCCATTGGTCATTTTATTCCAGCAGTCCCAGATGTGCTCTAGTCAGTGTCTTAAGGCGCATTTGGAATTGAGTGCACACGGTAGGTTTACGATGCTGCATTGCTTGTTTTAGGGGCTGCTCACCAGTGGAGTGGAGTTCGAGTCTCTCCCTGCGGCACTTTCTCTTCCGGCTGAATCTGGTCTGTACCCAGTGACGCTAGTCGGGGTCCCGCAGACAACGGGAACAATTACTGTGAATGGTAAGGAGAGTCCCTTCGTGGTTCCTGTTCAGGAGGGACTGCCGAACCCTTGCCTGGCCTCCGTGAGGCCTAGAGCCCATCACCTGTCGTGCCAGTCCTCACCAGGTAGAAGATAATGAAGACTGTGAGAAAACCTGCTTGTGGGCTGCAGGGTGTGTAGTGGTGGGAGGGGTCCTTCCCGCGCTCTGACCCCACCCCCGCCCCCTCCCTCTGTGGGGCGCCTTTCTGCCGCAGTCTCCTCCAGTGAGCCTTCCTTCCCTTCCTTCCTCCTGCTCCTTGCAAGAAACCATCAGAGGGTGTCTACACACGCTGAATCCACTCTCTGCCTCTGCGGGGGTCCTTTAACCCTCTGCATCCTGGACTCAGCCCTTTTCACTTCACCAAAACTCCTGTCACAAGCATTGTTTTTTTGGGCTAAGTCCGGAGCTTACTTTTCAGTTTTTTTCTAAGTTTGCTCCTCAGTGCCCTTTGAGTCCCTGGCCGACCCTCCATGTGGCATGCCCTCCCCGCTGGCTGCTGTGACCCTGACCCTCCGGATGCTTTGCCGCCTCTCTGGCCCTTCTGTTTGGGTCTCTCTTGTCTCATGCAGCCCACCCTCAGCCAGGCCTTCCTCACACCCCACTTCTCTCCTTCCCACCCCTCGCCCTCTGTTCCCTGGCCCTGTTCATTCTTCCTCTTCCACAAGCTATGTTAGATGATCCCACTGATGCCCTTGGCCTTCCTGTCTTCCGTTCCTCCAGTGTGCAGATGATTCCCAGGGCTGGACTTCTCGTTAGGTGATCCCACTGACGCCCTTGGCCTTCCTGTCTTCAGTTCCTCCAGTGTGCAGATGATTCCCAGGGCTGGACTTCTTGTTAGATGATCCCACTGATGCCCTTGGCCTTCCTGTCTTCAGTTCCTCCAGTGTGCAGATGATTCCCAGGGCTGGACTTCTCGTTAGGTGATCCCACTGATGCCCTTGATCTTCCTGTCTTCCGTTCCTCCAGTATGCAGATGATTCCCAGGGCTGGACTTCTTCTCAGCCTGCACCTCCAGCCCCTCCCAGCTTCCCTTTACAGTAGGTGAAAAGCAGAACTCGCCTCCCCAAATCCGCCCCTACCCTGTCAAGCCTCCATCTCACTGCAGGCATCCTCATCATCTGCCATTTGCCCTAATGGGTTCTTGGGGGTCATCCTTGACCCTCGCTGTCTCTCACAGCACCCCCACAACCCCTCCCTCACTGCTTCCCGAGAACCGCCTCGTCTCTCCACCTCCACCTCCCTTTCCTGCCTTGCAGATCATGACTCTTCTAGGGTTTGTCACAAAAGCACTGGGAAGGGTGTTTCTGCCCTGGTCTTGCTTGCTAATAGACCCACCTCCTATCTGTGGCCCAGTGATCTTCCTAGTGAGAATCTGCTCCTGACATCTCTCAACTGGGAGTCTCATAGCCTTTGCCAGGCCCTTGTTATCAAGGCCGGGTCCGTAAGTGTTGCTCTGGAGCCTGGTGTGGTCTGGCTTCTGCTGGCCTCCGCAACCTCCGCTTTGCAGCTCTTCTGCGAAATCCTACTTTAGTCTCTGAAGACTCCTTAGTTCCGGCAGCTTTCTAGGCTTTCTGAGGCTTTGCTTTGCCTGTGCCCCTTCCGAGTGCTTACCACCGTGGCTGGCTCCTCAGCGTCCCAGTCCTCTGCGCAGGCTTCCCTTCTTCCTGGAGCCTTCCTCGGCATGTGTTCACTGGCCTAGGCCCCTGCGTGGTGGTCTCCTTCCTGTTCCTGTGTGATAGGGTCCTTCTTGGCCTTGAACGTCTCACTCAGTGGCAGCTCAGTGCCTAGTGTGGAGGCTGGCACACAGTAGGTCTTCAGTGTGTGTTTGTTGGCTGGAAGAGCAAACTTTTGCTGGAAGGGTACTCCCTAGGGGTGAGGGAGGCAGGTGTAATTATAGGTGAGGGTGCCCTGCCCCAAGCCAGAAGATGGAGCGGAGTGGCGGTGGGAGTGAATGACTCTGGGCATGGACCCAGCTGGGAGAGTGGGTTGGCTGGCGACCCTGAGGCTTAAAGGCTAACTAGGAACTATTCAAATGAATGGTGGTGGGCCATGGAGGGAGTGGTGGGGTGTCTACAGGCAGCAGAAAGAGGGTTCCAGGCAGAAAGAACAATGCGGTGGTAAGAGAGAACATGGTGCATTTGGGGGATCTGGGGGTGGTCAGAGTGGGTGGTCCAGGGCAGGGTGGCAGGGATGAGATGGGCTGGAAGGGAGGCAGAGGGCCCACCTGGGGACCTTCCTTATACACTGTGCTGAAGGATGCCAGCTTTCTCCAGGGGGCAGTGGGGCTGCTGCGTTATTTGAATAGAGATGTGGTTAGGTGGGCAATTCAGAGCCATCCCTCAGGATCCAGGATCTCTGTTGAAATGGGAAGGACCGGAGGCAGGGACACCAATGATCAAACTCCAGTGAGGACCCAGGTAGAGGGGGACAGAGGTAGGACCATAGCCAAGGCCTAGCAGTGGAGCATAGGAGATATTAATAAATTAGAGAGGAACAATGAGGAATGAAGGGCTTGATTCAGAATAACATGTAACCCGTAACTAGTATGTTCATGGATGAGGAGTAGGAGCCTTAGTCACGCATTTCTTAGTAGTTTATCCTGCGTCCAGACTAGTGAGTGTTCATTTTTGGCCTGATTTGGGAATGAAGTCAAAAAGACTGACCTTGTATTGTCAGACATCATGATGTGCTATTTGTCATCAGACTCGTGGGTTTATGTGGTGTTTTTTTTGAAACAGTCTAGCTCTGTCGCCCAGGCTGGAGTGCACTGGTGTGATCTTCGCTCACTGTAACCTCCGCCTCCCAGGTTCAAACAATTCTCCTTTCTCAACTTCTAAGTAGCTAGGATTACAGGCATGTGCCACCATGCCCAGCTAATTTTTGTATTTTTAGTAGAGATGGGGTTTCACCACATTGGTCAGGCTGGTCTCGAACTCTTGACCTCGTGATCCACCCGCCTCGGCCTCCCAAAGTGCCGGGATTACAGGTGTGAGCCACCACGCCTGACCATGGTAGTTATTTTAAGCAAGGGGGAGAAAAGAAAATGGCTGATTTAAATTAAGGACTGTAAAATAATGGCTGCTTAGCAGACAAAACCACATCATACCAGGTTTTATAGAAAGGACAGATGTGGCTTTGGGGAGGAAAATGTTTGGCAGTTAAGGACGTCTCTGAAGAGGTGTACTTTAGAGGAAGTGTGGCTGCTGTGAATGTGAGTTACATTGGTAGGGCAGCTTCAGGCTGGCAGGAGGTAAGCCAGGGCCTATTGAGGCTGTGTAAGGGCCCTGATTTGCCCTTGAGGGAGTGGCTGCCTCTCTGTGTAGTATGTAATAGTCTCCTATGAATGCAGAAAAGTTGTCACCCTAGGCATTTAGCCATTGGCTACTGTTTAATTTTGTTACAGAATGAATGTTGTTTATAATAATTATCTGGTGAAATTTCAAAAGCCATTTTAAAGCTTTGCTTAAACAATTTCTAGTGCTTATCTAACCAGTGGACTTTTTTTTTTTTTTAACATGGGAAATTTGCTAATCTTAAATTATAGTACTTGTACACATAGAGCACATTTGGCATGTCACGTAGCAGCTATAATAACAGTAATTGGCTCTTGAACTTTCCTCTCTCAACAGAAGGTTTTGAAGCATTTTTCAAATACTCATTAAGTCACATTATGTCCTGGAAAAGAATATTAACTATCATTCTCGTTTCAGAGATAGATAAATCTGAAAAGCAAATGAGTAAAGGGATGAGATACCTGAGATACCGATTATTAAGTAGACATTTGTAGTTTACAAGGACCTTCGCATATAGTCTTTCATTTGGGCCCAGCCAGCCATGTGAAGCAGGAATGCAGGTGCTGTTATCCTCCCCAGCACGGATGAGGAGAGTGAGGGTCTCGGGGCTTGAGGGTGGGCGTGTGGGCGTGTGGGTGTGTGGGCAGGTCGGTGGGCAGCTTTGGAACTCAGGTCTCTGAAGAGGAGCCCCGTGCTCTTCTCACTGTTGCTGAGTGGACTGAAGATGTTCATTTTCTGCTCCAGGTTACCATACCACAGTCTTTGGTGTGTTCAGTGACTGTCTGCTGGATAATCTGCCAGGTATCAAAACCAGTGGCTCCACTGTCGAAGTCATTCCCGCCTTGCCGAGACTGCAGATCAGCACCTCTCTGCCCAGGTAGTGTGCCCAAGGGTCACAGAGCAGAGTGGCTCCTAGGCATCATTTTTGGTCTTACTTTTTTTTTTTTAATGGCACAAAGAGCCTGTAATTCTTATGACCAGAATATAATAGATGAATATTTCTTTAAAATAAACAACATCAATATGTTTTGCTTAAAACGAATTAGAACAAAGTTGAAATCTTTCTTACCATGATCAGAACAAAATGTGACATTAGCCTATGGAATCATAATTCTTTTGAAAACCAAAATTAGGGAATTTAGGAATTCCCTTAAAAATAGGGAATTTAAGTTAAACTTTTATATTCTATTTTAATTAATTAATTATTATTTTTTTGAGACTGAGTCTTGCTCTGTTGCCCAGGCTGGAGTGCAGTGGTGCGATCTCGGGTCACTGCAATCTCTGCCTCCCAGGTTTAAGTGATCCTCTCACCTCAGCCCAGCTGGGACTACAGGTTGGCACCACTACGCCTGGCTAATTTTTGTATTTTTCGGTGGGGTTTTGCCATGTTGCCCAGTGTGGTCTTGAACTCCTGGTTCAAACAATCCACCCATCTTGGCTTCCCAAAGTGCTGGGATTCCAGATGTGAGCCATCATGCTCAGCCAACTCTTATGTTTTAAGAAGTAGTTTTGATCTTGTTTGTTTGTTTTTAGCATGATAGGAAACCATAAAGAAGAAAGAAAAAGAAATATCAGGAGTCTCAGAAGCAATTACTATAAATGATTTGTGTCGATTTTTCCTTCTAGAGCTTTATCCATAAATATGTCTTTGAATAGTTGAGATTACAGCACATCATATATAGTGTCATAGATTACTTTTTGCATAACCACGTAACCTAAGCTTTTCTTCATGTTTTTACAAATTCTTTAAAAAATTCCACTTTAATTGCATCAACAAAGCACATCATAATGGTATCTCAGAACTGCATACCCATTAGTTCCTTGCTATTGGAATTTGGGATGGTCTCAATTTTTTTTTTATTTTTATTTTTATTTTTTTTATTTTATTTTTTTTTTTTTTGAGATGAAATTTTGCTCTCTCGCCCAGTCTGGAGTGCAGTGGCGTGATCTTGGCTCACTGCAACCTCTACCTCCCAGGTTCAAGCAATTCTCCTGCCTCAGTCTCCTGAGTAGCTGGGATGACAGGCACCTGCCACCACACCTGGCTAATTTTTGTATTTTTAGTAGAGATGGGGTTTTGCCATATTGGCCAGGCTGGTCTCAAACTCCTGACCTCAAGTGATCCACTCACCTCTGCCTCCCAAAGTGCTGGGATTACAGGCATAAGCCACCACGCCCGGCCTGTTATTAATTTTTGCACTTATGAATAACATTTAATGGATATCCTTTTGGCCATTTCTGTAAAACGTGTCTTGGGATTTTCTGAAAAAAATTTTTTTTTTGAGACAAAGTCTTGCTATGTTGCCAGGCACCAGGCTGAAGTGCAGTGGCACGATCTCGGCTCACTGCAACCTCTGCCTCCCGGGTTTAAGCATTTCTCCTGCCTCAGCCTCCCGAGTAGCTGGGACTACAGGCGTGCACCACCATGCCCAGCTAATTTTTTTTTGTATTTTAGTAGAGATGGGGTTTCACTATGTTGGCCAGGATGGTCTTGATCTCTTGACCTTGTGATCTGCCTGCCTCGACCTCCCAGAGTGCTGGGATTACAGGCCTGAAATGTTTTTAAAGTGTGTTCATGTGTTTAATAGAACCTTTGATTTGCCAGTTGCTGTGCTGGGTGCTGGGGCTGTAGCAGCCATATGACAGTCCTGGTCTCTGTCCTCCTGGGAAGTTCCGTCATGTGGGGAGATTGATGAGTCGCCGAATAACCACAGTGCACCACTGTCAGGACTCTGATGGGGGAGGTCATGGCCTCAGGAAAGTTTCCAGGAGGCGACACCAAGTTCAGTGGGAGGGAGGGAAAGGAATAGGCTGGGTACGGGGGCAGGCAGGGCAGTCTTCTGACAGAGGAAGGAAAGGGGGAGGCAGTGACATATAATTGGGGAATAAAATGAAACACGGATAACATTTACTCAAAAGGGATCATAGACCTGAGTGTAAAAGCCGAAAGTGTATAACTTTTGGAAGAAAATAAGAGAAAATTATCATGACCTTGAATTGGGCAGAATTCTTTGGTATGACACCAAAAGCAGGATCCATGGACTAAAACGTTGACAGGTTGGACTTCATCAAAATTAAAAGCTTGTATGCTTCCAAAGACACCAGTAAGAGAATGAAAGTTACAGCCTGGAAGATAATATTTGCATATTAAACATCTGATAAAGAGTTTATATTCACATTAAGAAATCTTAAAACTTAGTAAAAAGAAGGCAAACAACCTAATTTAAAAAATGGACAAGAGATGTGAGTAGCTGTTTCACCACAAGATATACAAATAGCTAGCAAGCAACCTGGAAGGATGGCGGCCATCATTAGTCTCTGGCACCACGTGAGGCCCTAGTTCCCACCCGGGCAGGGGGCTCATGATAGCAGGGGTGCAAGGTGTCGGAGAAGCTGGACCTCTCATGTGAGGCTGGTAGGGATGCTGATGGGCCGTCCCTTTTGAAAACACATGGGCAATTTCTTCAGAAGTTACGTATAACTGTACCGTGCTACCCATCAATTCCGCTCCTAGGTATCTGCACAAGACAACTGAACATATGTGTTGACACAGAAACCTGTATGCACATGTTCATAGCAGCGTCGTTCACAATCAGAAAACTGGAAAGGGCCCAGATGGCTGTCAGCTGGTGAAGGGGTCAACAGAACATGGCGTGTCCCCGCAGTGGAACACCACTCCACAATGAAGGGATGTAGGGCATGCGCCCCAGCGCAGACCAGCCTCAGAAGCAAGCTGCTGAGTGCGAGAGGCGCAGAGTGAGAGTCCTTGGATGTGAAACATCCAGAAAGCCAGCTCTCCGGCGGCGGGCTGCAGCTCAGCGGCTGCCTGAGCCTGGCAGTGGAGTGGGGACTGAACTGATTGGAAGTGCATCTGCAGCATCTCTGTGGGGTGCTGGACGTGTTTTAAAACTGGATATCAGTGATTTGTAAATTTACTGAAAATGATTGCATTGCATACTTAAGCTAGGTGGATTTTATACCTCCATATACTGTTTAGAAAGATGAATTTTGGCAAGGCTTCAGTGCTGGGTGGACACATGATTTCCGCTGAGCCTGCCACCAGGACTTCCGGGCCTGGATGTTTCTGAGCACATTAGCTCAAACAGCCAGACGTGCAGACTCCCAGCTCAGGCTTTGCTGCTGAATTCTGCCACTGCTGTCTTTAGAACTGTGGCACCCCATGGGCGCTAGGCTAGGAAGGACACTAGCTCCAGCTACAGTTTTGCAGCACGTGCTCACAGGCCTGTACAGAGCACCAGCCGTCCATCAAAAGCTGGCGGTGAACCCTGAGAGAGCTGCTGAAGGAGACCACGGCTCTGGCTGCAGCTCAGCGAGCCCCAGCCAGCGCTCCCGCAAAAGGGCGGGAGTGGCTTACGGCGAAGAAACACTAAAGGCGGCTGTTACCAAAAAGGAAAAATATCTTGAGAAGAAGTACTTCAGCTTTGTCATTTGTCCTGCTAATAGGCCTCCCTGAAGGTCCCTACCAGCTGTAAAAGTCAGTGAAGAAAGTGGGTCCTCTTTCTGCTTCTTTTTGCCCCCCCCCCCCCCCCATTTTTCTCCTGCGTTTAGAATTGTTTCCAAAGATAATGCCCCTGACCTACCATTTTTATTGTCCTGTGGATGCTGTGACGGGAGTGCACAAATGCTCTGGTACCTGCTACCTCTCAACAAGAAGATGTGCTGCCATGGGTAGCCACCATGAAACTGACCCCGGGTCCTAGGGAGGAATGTGGATCCCAGCTCACCCTGCTGATGACCAGGGGCTCGAGGAGGAGGGCCCAGCAGAACTGATTCAGAGTTAAAATGTTTTTTTATTTCTTATTTTAAAAAATTGTACATAATGTATATATTTTTCTAAGGTGATTTCCTGAAATAAAATGTGACTGTTCTTTAAGTGAGTTTTGGTTGCTATGAATCTAACATGAACGTTCCAGTGACTGATTCATGAAATTCATTCACAAACATTTATCGACGCCTACCATGTGCTTTAGGTCCTATAGGACTAGCAATGAATGAAAAATGCCCTGGACTTAGGCCTCTCCCTTTGTGTGAGCTCACAGCATGGAAGGGAGGTACTCAGACTAATGGAGTCAGATTTGCTAACTGGCCCTGTACTATGAAAACAAAGGTGAGGCTGACCCTGTCTTTGGGGTTCAGGAAGGCTTCATAGAAGATGTGATATTCAGCTGGGCTTTATGAGATCTACAACAATTGGTCAGATAATCAAGCCTAGAAAAAAATGCAAAGAAGAGGAAACGATAAATCAACCAACCCAATAAATATAGACCATGGCACAGGAGAATTCCGTGTGGAGACGCAAACACAGCTGGGTCAGATGAGATGTCCAGAAGAGGCAGATCTTCGGAGACAGAAGGCAGCTCACTTGGCGAAGTAGGGTCAGATGACGAGGCCTGCTTTGCAGGGAGTTCTCAGGAAAGGCCTCTGCAGGGAGACGTGCAGAGGAGCAGAGCCTGTAGGCAGTGGGTGGGACGTGGCAGGGAGCACTCCAGGATGGGAGTTGGACGAGCTCAGATGGAGCCTGGCTAGAGTGGTGCCTTGAGCACTGACAGTGACGAGGGCTGAGGTCAGGAGCAGGTAGCCTGATGGCGTCTCCTGTGGAAATGTGTTGTCCCACCTTCTCCGTGGCCAGGCAGCCATGCAGAGACGGACTGCACAGGGTGAGGGTCACCAGGATGCAGCCATAGCAGGCTGCTATGTCCCAGGCCCGTGTCTATTACTGCTAGGGTTCTTTTCTGTGTTGCACAGTGCTTTAAATTTGAGATGCTTATTAATTTGTTCAGTACATACTTAGTGAGTACCTGCTATGTGCCAGGTACCTGGCTAGGTAGGAGCTGATAATGCAGAGATTAAAAGTCCCGGCTGGGCCTGGTGGCTCATACCTGTAATCTCAGCACTTTGGGAGGCAGAGGCAGGTGGATCACCTGAGGTTTGGAGTTCGAGACCAGCCTGGCCAATATGGTGAAAGCCTGTCTCTACTAAAAATACAAAAAAATTAGCCGGGTGTGGTGGTGTGCCTGTAATCCCAGCTACTCGGAAGGCTGAGGCAGGATAATCACTTTAACTCAGGAGGTGGAGGTTGCAATGAGCAGAGATTTTGCTCCTGCACTCCAGCCTGAGTGACAGAATGTGACTCTGTCTCTAAAAAAAAAATTGTCCCTGTCTTGAAAAAACTTTTGGTCCAGTGTGGGGGTGGGGAGGGCAGAACTACAGGAAGGGCGCTGAGCCCACAGAGTGCTCGGGGGACACAGTCGTGCCTAGCTTCAGGCACCAGTGATTCCCCCTTGCAGTTCCTATGCTGCTCAGACCTAGGGGCTGACTCACCCAACACAGACCACATATTAAAGGCCATCTCCTTAAAAAGGAGACTCTCGCTGGTATAGACCTTCATCCTACCTCCCACTGTTTGCCGAGGTAAATCCATAGTCCCACACTAGAGTTTCTCTCTGCAAAGAAGCTCCTGGTCCTCACCTCCTCCTGGGAGACAGGACCTAGGCCTTGCCCAGCCTCTGCAGCCCCTCCCTGGGGCCCTGACCTTGGCTGGAGTGGGGTCCCTGCTGCCATCTCTAGTGCCATGGTCTCTTCAGGACTCAGCTCCTTTTCAGGGCCAGCCTGAGTCCCCCCAAGGTCCACTGCTTGTGACAACTGGGACGCTGTAGCTGGGACCATCAGGGCCTGTGTCACAGCCAAGCCCTGTGACTGCCTGCCTGCTCAGCTCTGGGACCTTCTTTCCTTCTTTCCTTATAGTGTCAGAAGCATTGTTTAGTTTTATCTCAAAATCCTGTTGTTTGAGACACAAAATAGTGAGTCTTGGCCATGCTTTATTTTTCTCCTGATACGTCCTCTGCAAATCCACTTTCACCACAAACTTTTTCTTAAGAAAGGCTGCCTGCTAAAAGATAGGAAGAAGCCATTTATGGTAAGGACACGAGTCCAGTTTTCCTTCCTTGACGGAGGAAATGTGTTTCTTGACTCATGAACATTAAAGATATATAAATTCCCAGGAGCTTGCCTTGATTTATTATGCAATTATTTCACCAAAAGTTGGTTTGGATGCCAAAGCTCCTCCATCAGAGTGTGCAGCCAGAGGTCCCTAGGAAGCGCGTGCCCGGCCCCGTGAGCTTGGCTCATATTAAGCAGCATTTCTTCCCTTGAATGGCAGAGGTGTGAGTCTGGAACATTCTTTTCTGTGCTTTGGACCAAGTGTGTGATAGCAAGTGCTCCCGTGGTGTGGTAAGCAGATCTGACTCTGATCCTACGTGCTATACCCGGGAGCAGGGCTAAGAGGAGCTGGGCATCGGAAGGGCAGCTGGAGGGTGTCTGGGTGGGGTGGTCCACCGTCCGCTTAGCTGACTTCATGAGCCATTTCTGGTGGCACTAAGCACACAATGTTGACTCAAGTTTGTTGGAGTAATTGCGGCTCCCTGTGGAAATCCTTCAGTACAGGAAGAAGGTAGTGGGGCCCTTAGGAAACCCTCAGGGCCGAGGAGAACATGTCTGCCAACCCCCTTTGGCCACGTCCTCTAGCTGCCCCTTCGTTTTGTGGCCAGACTTCTCCAGGGAGCCCTGTGGGCGTTTACCCTCACCTGCCACATGCCTCTATTTGTCGTCCGCTGGCTTCTGTCCCCATGTTGCTATCAGATATCTTTTCTCTGTGGTCACCAGTGACTTCTTTCCCAACCCACTGTTTGCCTCCTGTGGGTTGGGAAGGACACAGCCAGGACAATTAGCTTTGTGGGTTCAGTTACAGTCAGTAGAAGTCAGGCGAGGGCTTACAGGTTGAGAGCTTCAGTGCAGGAGCCTCGGGAGGCCCCGGCCTCTGGGCTGCACGTTTGTCTGGCCTGGCTGCCTTGGCCTGTCCCACAGTCCAGGGCCTCACCTGACTGGTGCGAGGACGGAGCCCCACAGACACGGCCTGACCCCAGGGCCTGGTCCAGCTGCCCTGTGTGACACTGGGTGTTGGTGGGCATTCCCCACTGTCCCTGTAGGAAGGGGTCTGTTGGATAGCTTCTCATGTCTCTTTGACCTCAGTTCTCGTGTTATTAGCTGGAGTCGTTCGGATATGTTTTCCTCTTAAATCTATGGATTTTCCCAAGGCACTTCTAAGCATGACATATTTTAGATTTCGAGAGAACAATACTATGATTCATGGTTTATTTGAATCAATTCATCATTTAATTTTTGTCCTCCATAACTTAGTAATTGTTTGTACGCGTCATGTACGCATGAGAAATGAGGGTTGAGTGAGGGCGTTCATGTTTATGACACACAAAGACCCGGCCGTGTCTGTATGAGGAAAGCATGAGGCCTGTGGCAGCTCGCTTTTCATTCCTGCTAGCTGGGTACTGAGCTCCATGCGTGACCCTGGGATTTCCTAACCCCGATTCCTCAAATACACAGGTATGGTAGTTCTTCTGTCTGATGTGAGTAATTCTAAAATGACCTTGGCTTCTTCCTTCTTTCGCTTTTAAATTTCTCCTTCTTATTATTATTTTAGATCTGCACATTCATTGCAACCTTCTTCTGGTGATGAAGTATCTACTAATGTATCTGTCCAACTTTACAATGGAGAAAGTCAGCAACTAATCATTAAATTGGAGAATATTGGAATGGAGCCACTGGAGAAACTGGAGGTCACCTCGAAAGTTCTCACCACTAAAGGTAGGTATCTTAAGCAGTTTTGACCCTGGGAATTTTTGTATTGTTTACTTGTAGAAGCGATACTTAAAATACTTTTCAGAGAATCCAGAAACAACTTCCTCTTTTAACTTGGTGCCATCGTGACAGTGAGAAACCAGTTCTTTGTGAAAAACACGCAACATAAGACAGCGGTACCAAGCACACACCTCTGTGTCCCCAGTGCTCTTTCCATCTGATTAGTTCCAGCTTGAGGGCAGGTCCAGGGCTGAACTTGGGAGAACTTGCAGGCAAAGAATGATGTCATGAGAAGATGAGTTTGGAGTGTGTAAGAAAAGGTTCATTTGGGCTTGTACCGCCCTGAGGAATTCCAGGGTATCATCCGTTTGTGTATTTCCTCCAGTGATTTTGATAGAAATCTGTGTGTGTAGGAAGTAAAGCATGAAGCTATGCGTCCGCATTGTCTAACCCAGCCTCCCTGTCCGTAACTGCCCTGGAAGGAGCCTTGCCCTGCTGAGTGATCCAGACTTGGCCTTTAGTGATCTGTGTGTGTGGTCATGGGGCTGGACCCATGGAGCAGCCCACCTCGTGCATGCACTCCCTGTTCTTGTTCTTGCTTAGGAGGGCCGGCTGTGCCCAGAGCAGGGAGCAGGGATGGAGCAGGAAGTCACCAGTAGCTTGTCGGTGCACATTCATTTTATTTTTTTTGGTCTTAAATGTTTCTCTTTTTTGTGTGTGTTTTTTTTTTCCCCCTTTTTCCTTTCAGTGCTAGTCATACAACATGGAATAAAAAGCACATTTTTTATTCAGTGAGGCTGTAAGTGCCAAATTGTTCTATGCTAACTAGTTATTAAAAATGGAAGTCTGATGTGTTCACCTCACTACCTTGCCCTCGAGGAGTGGTCTTGCACTCATCTAAGGCTTTGCTTCAGCCCCAGGGAGGTCACAGGGAGGTGGTCTCCTGCCCTGGAGAGCCGGGGCCCGGTGCGGAACCTGCTGGCAGTTGTTGACTTAGCACGGTCTCTGCACAAAGGTGTCAGAAGGGGAGCATTTCTGTTCTACTCTTTCTCTTGAAATCTCCCCCAAACAGCAAAGTATGAAGAAACAGTGAAAACAAGACCATTCCCTGTGAAACAAGGAAATTATTTCAACCCCACGTCGCAAAGCATCTGCTACAAGTGTCGCGGAAGCCGGGTCAGAGGGAGGGTGAGAGCGGAAGTGGGACTCTGGGAGGACTTAGGAAAAGCTGTTCTCTGAGAGTAGGCCACACAGCACCCAAAGGTACCCCAACAGTGAAAGCCAGGCGGTGGGCCTGGGCAGGCGTCTGGAGCAGTGGGAATGCAGAGGGGTTACCTTTTCTGTGCCAGGCCTTTGGCCGAGAGAGGAGAGACCAGGGGTGGGAAGGTAAGGAGGCGATGGAGCTCACTGGTAGAGAACCTGTGTGTGAGAGGCTTCACTGCGAGCCTCAGCTGTGTTTTCAACAATAAAAACCCCGGGCGGCCTGCCTCTTGGTAAGGGAGCTAGTGGCACAGCAGCCCAAGCCAAGCTGGATCACAGCTGTTGGGGGCCGGGTCCCTCCTCTTGTCACTCTAGGCAGGAGACAGGCCACGCCGGAACAGAAAGAATCTCTGTGAGCAATGCCCTACAGGTGTGAAGCACACAGGAGGTGTGAGCAGGGAGGTGGCTCCTACCTTGGGCCAGGGCAGCCTGCGAAGAAGTTGGACTACCCTGGCCTAGAAGTTGAGAGGAAGTACCCAGGAGTGGCAACTGAGACCTCGGAGGAGTGGCCCAGCTTGGTGCTGGAGTCTCTGAGCTCGGGGCACCCAGACCTCTGGGGAGGGCAATGTCTGGCCCCACTGTTCTGTAAAATAACACTAAGAATAGTACGTTCATCTCATTGGATTTAACTGAGAGTTAAATGAGATATGATATGTGAAGCCCTTTGGACAGTACTTGGCGTATAAGCTCTAGATGTGTTCTCTGCAGTTACTACTTGGCGTTGTTTAGGTGTGTGTCCCTCCAAATCTCATGTGGAAATGTCGTCCCCATTGTTGGAGGGGGTCCTGGTAGGAGGTTTTGGCTGGGTGCCTGTCTCTCCTGTTGGCTGAATGGAGGACATAGACAAGCATGTGGGATTCACTCTGCGATTTCGAATGTGTGGCATAGCTCTGCTGTAGGCACTCCCCTCTCCACACCTGCTCTGTGCAGGCCAGTGCCTCTGCTGCTCTGCTTAGGTGCTGCCTCCTTCCTGGAGAGGCCTTCCTCTGCTTCCTGGTCACCTGAGGTCTCATTTTAAGGTCCAGCTTCTGTCCTGCCTTTCTGGGCTACCTTAGCCTTTGGTGTTTCTTTCTTTCTTTTTTTTTTTTTTTTTTGAGATGGGAGTCTCACTCTGTCACCCAGGCTGGAGTGCGGTGGCATTATTTTGGCTCACTGTAACCTCCACCTTTCGGGTTCAAGCAATTCTCCTGCCTCAGCCTCTTGAGTATCTGGGATTACAGGTGCCCGTTACCATGTGTGGCTAATTTTTTGTATTTTTAGTAGAAATGGGGTTTCAACAAGTTGGCCAGGCTGGTCTTGAACTCCTGCCCTCAAGTGATCCCCCCACCTCGGCCTCTCAAATTTCTGGGTTACAGGTGTGAGCCACTGCACCTGACCATCTTTGGTCTTCCTTATGCTTCTGACTTCATCTGGAACTTATTCTGTATCACCCATTGTTTCCCTCCTCAAACTTTCATTATGAAAATACTCAAACATGCAGAAGAATTGAAAGAATTTTATAGCAGACACTTACATACCAACCATCTAGGTTCTGTAATTAACATTTTGTTACATTTGCTTTATCACATATCAATCCAGCTTCCTATCCATCCATTAATTCATTTTATTTTTTAATGCAGTTTAAAGTAAGCTGCAGATTTCAGTGTATTTTACCCTTAAATGCTGTAGCACATGTATCATTAACTAGAGTTCACTTTTTTTTGGTAAAATAAATGTGCAGTGACATGTATGAATCTTGTGTACCATTTATTGAGGTTTAGCAAGTACATGTATCTGTCTAATGCAAACCCTTATCAGGATATAGTATGGAACATTTCCGCCACCCTAGAAAATTCCCACGTTCCTTCCCAGCCAATCCCTGCCCCACCCCTGAGTCAAACCCCTCTTTCCATTTATCTGGTCAGCCTAGTGAGTATTTCCTAGTGATGATGAAGAAGGAGTGGAGCACTGTGGCCACTGGACAGAATTCCAAGGGAGATGCCTTTGGCAGTGGTTCACACCGAGACCGTCAGCATGGTTGCCCATCGTGCCTTGTCCATGCCTCTTCTGCCTTTGTTATTGTGTGTTTTTCTGGGCTTCTCTCTAGTCAGGGTCCCCAGTCAGTCTGAGGACGCGCAGGGCACATATGGCCACCCTGACTTTATGCACAGGGAAAGTGGAAGCAGCAGAGGTGGGTGGCGGCATCAGGTCACAGGGCAGCTGCAGGAGGAACCGGCACAGGAACGAAGGTCTCCTCATTCTCAGCTCTTGTGTCTTTACCTGTAAATTATGACAAGTGTCAGTAGATAGCGTGGCAGAGCCATTTTCAAAACATCACAGTTGCTTGTGAAAAATGAAACCTATCATTCTTTTTAATTCTTGTTCCAAGCCGTAGTACATTTACATGTGGAATTACATTAATGAAAGCAAACCATCTGTTTCCAAAATATACAAAGGGAGTCATTTCTGTCGCTTTAGTCCTACGGTACTGAAAGCTGCTGGCGTGAACGAGCAAAGGACCTGCTCTCAGCAGATGGGAATGGGAGCAGGAGCCACCGGTGGTGGAGAGGGCCAGGGAGGCGGAGCAGAGACAGTACAGGATTTGGTCGTGGATTGATTTTTATTTTAGCATTATCTTTATTCTAAGCCCATTGAGCTTAGCTCCTTTAACTGTCTCTGAAATGTCTACTGTATGAAACTTTGCCACACGGGATGAAACGTCCCCTTCTCTGGGTTCCCATGTGATTCTTTTTGCATTACGATTGAGTTAGTGTAAGAGGGCTTTCTGGGTGGGTGGTGGTGGTGGTCTATTTATTTCACTGCTACGTCCTCAGCATCTAATTACTAAGAACAGTGCTTGTCACATAGTAGGTGGCTCCGTGGTATTCACACTCTCACCAGCTGCATAGGGTTTTTGTGAGCATGAAACGTTAATGCAGGACGGGGAAAGCTCTTAGGACAACATGGAGCTTGTTTGCTTTACAGATGGCAGTTGTTCTTGGTGTGCATCGCGTCTGCAGACCACATTTGCATGCCGGTGCCTGGTGCGTGAGGAGCCTGTGTCTTATCATTCACCATTCCCTTTTCCTTCCATCCCTGACACCGAGAGTCCCGTCAGGGACCCCACTAGTCTCTGCACACATCTTCACCCCCTCAGAATAAGCCCCTTTTTCTTCAGATGTCAGTCTTCAGATAAAGAATTTTCTCGCTTTGTTTTCTCTGTTTCTTGCATCTTCTTGTTTTCCTGGTTTACTTTTATTCTTACTATTACAGACTCCCTTTAAAATCCCCTGCGTTTTCAGCTGATGGTAAGGATCTGTGATATTCAGGGTCAGACAGACCTTTGTGGCCTCTCAGGAGTCTAGACTATCATTGGAGCTTTTATGGGGTGAGTGTGTCCCTGTGTTCACAAATTCCTAACACAGAGATGAGTGTTTATAACCCGCCCCATTTCTGGACAATAGCCGGGTCTAGCTATGTCATGTAATTCTTCTAATTTGAATTCATGTGTAAACAAGTTTTTTTTTTTTTCTTTTTCTCCTCCTCCTCCTCCTTTCTTTCTTCTTCCTTCTTCTTTCTTCTTTTTTTTTTTTTTCCTCTTTAGACAGAGTCTCACTCTGTCTCCCAGGCTGGAGTGTAGTGGTATGATCTCAGCTCACTGCAACCTCTGCCTCCCAGGTTCAAGCGATTCACCTGCCACAGTCTCCCGAGAAGCTGGGACTACAGGTGTGAGCCAGTATGCCTGGCTAATTTATTTTTATTATTTT